AGAAGTAAGAGCTTGGAACTCTGCCAAGAATACAAATGAAGCCGCAAGACTTTTTCTTGGTCGTATCATTTTCTATAGTGTAGGAAGGTAGCACCCCCCCCCGATAAAAATGAAATACCCTAGGAAATATTGAAAAGGCAGAATATATTTCCCTGAATAAGAAATGGAGAAACATGTTTTTTGGCAGGAAATAGACTCACTCTTAGCCCTCACCTTTGTCAAGGCCTGAACCAGTCTATTCTACATAGCAAAGATCTCCCCCTTCAAGCTCCATGGGATTAAGGCATGATAGTATTAACCCTTTACCCATCTCCCCACAGGGCACCTGGTCAGAAGCAATGCTCAATCAAACTTGGGCTCAAAGCACAGTCTACAGAGTTGCCCTGGGAGTCTGAAAGCCAATCAGAAGACAAGATCAAGATCAAAACCCAGAGAGGGGATAAAACAAGGGGCTTTCATCACATCTATTTTCTTTTTCACCCAACTTCGGGAAGCATGTGATTCCCCTTTTCTGTTCAGGAGCTTAAGCCATGGGATCCTGACCACCATTAAACAATCTTTCCAAGCAGCCTCCGGGTTTCCAGTGTCTTTTTCCCCACTTGGAACTGAACCGAGAAGGACATTTCTCCCAACAATTGAACTCCTGAATCATTTTATTTTTCTTTTTTTTGCTCTCATTTTGATATTGTAGAGTTCCCTTGTCATCCCTGGCAATTTGCTTATCCATTTCTTCTCTTTCTCCTTTTTCAACTTCTATGTTCACAAGAGACAAAAGATGTCCCAGAGGAATAAAGGGAACGACATCAGAAATAGGTTTTACTAATAGTGGCTGCATTTCAAGAAGGAATTGGTCAGCATTCTGTGACCCAGAAAAATGTTAATATGTAGAATTTATTTATTTATTCATTCATTATTTATTTATTCTTTCCAAGTCAAACTGCATCATCTCATCTCATCTTTATATTGCGGTGCTCATGTCCTTCCCACATTTATTAACATTCACAATATTAATATATTTAATCTACTATTTACAGGCATGTTTGGGAGCCTCTCTTCTACCTGCTGGGCAGTGAGCCAGTTATCCTTAAATTGTCCCTCACAATTAAATATTAGACTTTTTCTGCAAAATTTACATTCTGTTGTGGCCCCCCAGTGGCCAGAGGAGCTGGCAGTAGATTCGGACAGTGAGGAGGTTGGGGAGGAACATAGACCACTCCTGGAGTCTGGGGAAGGCTCTGATGAAGGCTCTGTGTCAGAGGCAAAAAGCCGTATGCCACTTATCAGCTGCCTTTGGAGTCGGACATCAGTGAGGCAGACGAACAACTGGAGCCTGTTCCCAGCATGCGCAGAGTTACCAGACAAAGGGAACAGCTAAAGGACAGGGGTTGACTTGGTAGTAAGGCCACAGAGGGACAGTGAACTATTCCCAGAGGGAATAAAAGAGGAGCGAAAGGGGAGTGGAGTTTTCAGGAGACAATCAGTTCGCTTAATTGGTTTGTGACTCTCTGAGACTCCTTGCCAAGTTTTGCAGATATCAGCCTGGCAGCTCTCCAAGCCAGATAAGGTTTGTGACTGTAAAGTCAAAAGACTTTGCTGGATGTGAATGAGCAGAATTCACAGGAAATTAGTAAAAGGGTTTTTTGTAGGGACCAGAAATTTGCTTCCTGCTCTTGGGAAGCCTCGGTCAGAACACATTCACATTCGCTAACCTATTTGTATTTGTATTTATTAATATTTGTATGCCGGCCTTTTCCCCAAGGGGACTCAGGGCGGCTCACAGTTCAAGGGGAGGGGAGACAAACCGAGTTACATATAGGACAATACATCATTAAAAGCACAACATTCATACAATTCGGGTACGGTGAAGGTCTTTAGCCCCAGGCCTGTCGGNTAGTCATGCTGGCCACATGACCACAGAGACATCTTCGGACAGCACTGGCTCTTTGGCTTAGCAACAGAGATGATCACCGCCCCCTAGAGTCAGGAACAACTAGCACTTATGTGTGAGGGGAACCTTTACCTTTACCTTATGCAGTCAACAGTGGGCAAACTTAACAGTATCCCAATTAAAATTTGAATGGGACAATCAGCAAATTCCCGCTTGCATTAAAGGAACCGATGGTGGTGTTTCCCATCATCCAAAATCATCCAAAATTCAGGAACATCACTCTGGATCAGCCACATTTTATTATATATGAAAAGGGAAAACCTTTGGCAGTGAAAATCCAGCGATAAGATTGCTACTGCAAATCTGTTGCCCAAAGTGAGTACGTGAGTGCCTTGTGGGATGGCTGGTGGCCAGCAAATTTAAAGTGTAAAGTATGAAAACCCTTTCAGGGATAGAGGTTTCCTTCCAGTGGGAGGAAATCTTGGCTCACAAGCTTGCTTGAATCACAGTCAATGTGCAAATTTGGGAGGGGGCGGAAGAACGGCATTTAGGTTTTTGAGAGAGGCCACGGCCAGAAAAAAAAGCAAAAACAAAATTTGGTTTTGGAGCATTGGAATCTAAATCAAATTTAAATGATTTAGATCAGAGGTCTCCAACCTTGGCAACTTTAAGCCTGAAGGACTTCAACTCCCAGAATTCCCCAGCCAGTTGAAGTCCTCCAGGCCTAAAGTTGCCAAGGTTGAAGACTCCTTAGAATAAGACCCTTTAGAATAACTTACGTAGGTGTCAGCTTGCAGCCATATTTCTCTTGGATCTTTGGCCAACCACATTTTCTATTATTCTACTATGCATTTTCTATTGTGGGAAAATGGATTGGGGGATTGTACAGAGTTAGATGCTATGTAGCCATAGCAACATTCTTTCTACAAAGCCAAGGTCATTCTTTATCTCTGCACCTCTGCACCTGACCGGAACTGGATGGGTGGAACTGCCAGCATGGCAGTGGGAGATTGGACCATGTGATGGACTTGTGGGTGTGGGGAGCAAGATCTTGAACTTTCAACTGGGTGAGGAAAACCAGGAAGCTTTCAGATTCAGGTTTTCCCAGATGTGCCAACATGGCTCTCTTAATAAATTGGAACTTTGATCAATACTTTGCCTTGGACTCTGATTTACTTTTGGATGCTATTTGGAACCCTGACATTAGGTTAGCATAAGTGATTTAATTAATGTAAGTTATTTTTAAATCCTCACATATTTAATATGCTTTCTCCTCTTAGCCATTGAACAGACTGCCAATCCAAAGCCACATCCCACTGTCCTGATTTACACAATGTACACCCCTTGCCCTCAGCAGGATTACACCATAGGAACGTTGACGGCAAGCAGACAATTCCATTCCTAAAATTTCCCAAGCGCTTGTGCAAAGAAGCAAAAATTGGGCGGAAGTTCAGATGGAGAAAGCCAGGCTGAGACGTTGATACTCCCAAACCCCAATTTTGTGATCTGCACCAAATTAGTTTAGGCAGGATAAATGCCAAATCTAGAGAACAAGAAATGTATTTTGATTCCTTCACACTGAATTTATATTAAAGAGGCTAACTTTCCAGACAATGCAAGAGGAAAATTGAATGTCTTTTATCTGACCTATGGAAAGGCTTGCTTTTTATTATTATTCCAAATAAAAACAGAGTGGAAATTAAAGAGCTTAACTGCATTGATAGGGTGGGAGCAGACAATGGAGAAAATATGTTGCTATTGTTAAGAATTGGGGAAAAGCAAGGATGATTTGAAGCTTCTCCTTTAGGCACCAAAATCTCTGGTTGTCTCTTTCTCTATCTAATGATATTTATCCTGTCCATAATTTCATCTAAAGCATGTGAGAAAATAGCAACTTAGCATAAGGAAACAATGACAGGTTCTTGACAGCATGCAACTCTTTCCACAGTGAACTAAGACTTTTCTAAGTTCCTGGCACACCACAGAAAATGTTGGAGTATTAGCCAAGGAGCTCACACAGTTCACAGGGGTGGGATGGGTCAGTCCTACCCCACAAAGGACTCACTCAAGTGAAGAGCACAGGATCATCATCTCCTTTTAACGACCCCATAATCCTTTGTGGGGTGGAGTCTGGGCAACTGAATGGAGCCTAGAGTTTACTGGCTGGATGCTCTTCCTGTCGTCGATGTGGAGTTTTGTTCAGCAGATATATTCTCATTGTGCTCAGAGAGAGAAAATCCACCCACACCTAGGAACGAACTCACAGCCTGCCGAGGCCAGAGCTCCACCTCTAGGCCACCACATCACTCATGGAAAGCATAGGATAGAATAATGTTTTCAAATTTGGTAATTTTAAGATGTGTGGACTTCAACTCCCAGAATTCCCCAGCCAGTTCTGGAAGTTAAAGTCCATACCTCTTAAAATGCCAAGTTTGAGGGGATGGGGGTGGGGAAACACTATTCTAGTATATACCCAATGTTGTTCTGTGGTTGCAGAGAAGATTGGGCATGCTGTGCGAGTTTTCTGTCAGGAAATCTTTATTTACTATCATTGATAAATGCTCTCTCTGGGACACAATTTGTCAAGATTAGTGAACAAGGAATTCACCTACACCAGGATTTTGAAAATGAAGTGGATGGTTACTCTTGAAAGCAAAGCAATATAGGAGCCCTGGGTATTAGGAAGTTATGCAGTTCCTCAAACACATCTCCGAATCTCCATTTATTTCAATATATTTATATTCTCTAGGAAGCTTTCAGATCTCCCAGGGTTTAGGTAAAGATTTGGGCTCAGGAACGAGGAGAAGATCTGATTTCCAAGCTGCCAATGCATTGTTGGCATAAGAAATTTAAGTTCTCCAGACCAGGGCCCTCCAACCTTGGCAACTTTAAGACAGAATTCTGGGAGTTGAAGTCCACAAGTCTTAAAGTTGCCAAGGTTGGAGGGCCCTGCTCTAGTCCTCCGAATCATTCTCCATTTCAGTCAAACTTCACCCCTCTCTTTCACTCTGTCCCCAGCAACTGAAGATGATCCCTGATATTTGTTTGGTTATAAAGACAGCAGACAGAAGACTTGGAGAGATGCAAACATGTAAGAGTGGAGTGAATCCACCCTTTGCCGAGGGTTGAGGAAAGGTGTGGTTGATCTTGGGGAGGTCCGGCTTTGGATCCAACCATCACGCAGGGAGGCTGGTGCCTCCCTCACTATGAAGGGAAGCCTTGGAAACCTCTGTGCTGACCGTGGAAAGAGGGAATGTCTCGTATTTCTCCTTCTCCCGACTGCAGCTGCAACGGTATAGCAAGGCCTTGACCTCTTTCTGGAAGTTGCTGTTGAGGAACCCGTAGATGACAGGGTTGATGCAGGTGGAAGCCATGGCCGTGAGGTGACAGAGGGAGAAAATTAAGTTGTAGTAGCAGACCGAGATCTTCTGGTGGTCCCAGTCATAAAGGGCATTGAAGAACATGAGGGGGAACCAACATGCCGCAAAGGCGACCACGATGCAAGCCAACATGATGTTGACCTTTCGGTGGCTGGTGGCCCGGGAGCCATCTTTGGCTCTCTCCACCATGTCCTTCCGGTGTTGAAGGCGTAGGAAGATGCGGAAGTAGCAGGCAAGGATGAGCAGTAGCGGGAGACAGTACTGGAAGAGCAAGAGGAAGGTGGTGTAAGTCAAGCGGTGTTGATCCGAGGGCCAGCGCTCTACGCAGACCAGGTGGTTGGCCAAGGAGTCAAAGGGAAGGCTCAAGTTTTGAAAGGGCTCATTGGTCAAGACGGTGAAGGACAGGAAGGGCAGGGAAATACCGCAGGCCACCACCCAGGTGAGACCGACGGCCATGTAGGCGTGGTTGGCCGCTGGTTTCCATCCAGTTGGGTTGATGATGAGCTGGTGTCTCTCCAGAGCGATCCAGACCAAGGACAGGATGGACACCGTGACCGAAACACACTGAACAAAGGGGCTGACCTTGCAGACCACTTCTCCCAAGATCCAGTGGTCCATCAGGGTGTAAATGACGGTGACCGGCATGCAGACGAGGGAGACGAGGATGTCGGAGAAGGAGAGGTTGGCGATGAATATGTTGGTGACATTCCTCATCTCCTTCTGCTGGACGATGACACACACCAGGCAGAGGTTGCCCGTCAGCCCCACTGCGATGAGGATGCTGTAAGCCACGATCAGGAAGGTACTGTTGCCCACCGACTCGCCACAGGACATGCCATGCTCCTCCAGCAGGTTCAGTTGCTCCGAGAAGTTCAGATAGAGGAGACGCAGGAGCTGGTCCATAGCAGTTCCCCCGACTCCTACTACTCAGCAGAGGGAAAGATGCAGCCTCTCACCAAAGGACGCAGCCCTTCTCTCACACACGGCTGCGTTCACCAGGAATTTCCCTGTGCCAAGGAAGAATTGGTGCATTGATTATATCTATTATTGATATCTATCTATCTAGTTATCTATCTAGTTATCTATCTATCTATCTATCTATCTATCTATCTATCTATCTATCTATCTATCTATAATCTATCTACTATCATCTTCTATCTNTAACTTCAGGCTTTTCAATCACAGGATTCTGATGTCGGGCCTGCAGCCATATTCCTTTTGGATCTTTGGCCTGCCACACTTTCTATTATTCTACTATGCTGTTTCTATTGTGGGAAAAGGGGAGGGAGGATTGTACAAAGTTAAATGCTATGTAGCCATAACAAAATTCCTTCTAGAAAGCCAAGGTCATCCTTTGTCTCTACACCTCTGCACCTAATCAGAACTGCATGGGTGGAACTGCCAGCATGGCAGTGGGAGATTGGACCACATGATGGATGTGGGTGTGGGGGAAAGACCTTGAATTTTCAACTTGGTGGGGGAAACCGGGAAGCTTTCAGATCCGGGTTAGCCCAGATGTGCCAACATGGCTCTCTTAATAAATTGGTACTTTAAGCAATACTTTGCCTTGGACTCTGATTTAATTTTGGATGCTATTTGGAACCCTGACATCTGAATCATGCAGATAAATCAAGTCAGATCCTGGATGTAATGATCTGCTAGGAAGAGTGACTTTAGGGGGCCCTGAAACACACAATCAGTATTTCTCTGCCCTGCCAGGAATCATCATGCCAACTGTGTCTACATGATCAATCTCTTGGAACCAAACCGAAGAAGGGAAATGTTTGCCAGTCCCAATTATGTAGAAATGTGCAGTTTTGAAAACTGAATTATCTTAAAATGGATAAAAGAGGAAGAAGGGGAAAAAGAGTTGCATCAGTGGATTAAAGGGAATAGTAGCATGATTTGTATTGTTATGCAACTAAGAAATAAAGTAATTATAGTACATTGTTAACTGTAGAAAAAAATTGAAAGAAATGATCTCTACATTAAAATGTAACTAGAGGATATATATTGCTTATAGTAAAATAGACTAATATAGAAATACAAAATGATAATGTGCAATTTTTGAAGGGGCAATGGAAGATATTGTTTATGTATTAAGAAAAAATGAATATTAAAAATGGAAAATAATGGAAGAAAATAATTTGGCTGAAAGTGAAAACCAAGCTGTGATGTAAAATGGACTAAGTAAATGAGAGAATGTAAAAGGAAAGATCTGTTCAACACTTTGTTTCTATAATATGTATAAAGTTGTATTTAAAAAAATGAACCAAAAAAAGAAAAAAAAACCTGAATTCTCTTATAATGCCTTGGTTAGGCCACCCTTGGAATACTGCATCCAGTTTTTGTCGCCACGATGTAGAAAACATGTGGAGACTCTGGAAAGAGTGCAGAGAAGAGCAACCAAGATTAGGGGACTAGAGTCTAAAACATATGAAGAACCGTTGCAGGAACTGGGTGTGTCTAGTTTAATGAAAAGAAGGACTAGGGGAGACATGATAACAGTGTTACAGTATCTGAGGGGCTGCCATAAAGAAGAGGGAGTCAAAATTATCCAAAGCACCTGAGGGCAGAACAAGAAGCAATGGGTGTTAACTAATCAAGGAGAGAAGCAACTTAGAACTAAGGAGAAACTTCCTGACAGTGACAACAATTAATCCATGGAACGACTTGCCTCCAGAAGTTGTGAATGCTCCAACACTGGAAGTTTTTTTTTTTTTTATTAAATGTTTTTTAGTTTTAGTTTAAAACTGGTACAACATCTTTCTTAATATATCAATCA